CTGAAGCTTGTGATTCAGCCAGCACATTTAGGTCGACAGGCATCTGTAGCTCATCGACACGAGATAATGGATCGGCGACGACGTTATTCTTACCGGAGATGTGTCGGATATCGGTCGTGAACTGTGAGATGTAGTCGAGGTGACGATACTGCCTAGGCGAACAGTTAGCTTTCCTGTCACTGAAGGCATAACTTAGTGGCTTATGGTCAGTAAACACCACGAAGTGTCTGGCTTCAAGCATGTGACGAAAGTATTTTATGCTTTCGTAGATAGCCAAAAGCTCACGGTCATACGGTGAGTATTTTTGTTGGGTTGGACTTAGCTTCCGTGAGAAGAAAGCTAACGGTTCCCAAACGTTATTTTTCAGCTGCTGCAAAACTGCTCCCATTGCCAGGTCGGACGCATCTGTTACCAGAGCGAGTTCGGCCTGACAATCTGGGTGTGCCAGTAGTGCAGCGTTAGCGAGACTTTCTTTACATTCATTGAATGCCAACAAAGTGTCGCCAGAAATATCGACTGGTTGAGAGCCTTTTGTGCTCCCAGCGAGTAAGGCGTTAAGGGGGGCTTGAACTGAAGCGAAGTGTGGTACAAACCTTCTATAAAAATTCAGCATCCCCAAAAATCGTCGCAGTTGCCTTATTTAGGCACTGGGTAGTCCGTTATGGCTTGAACCTTTGATTCTAGAGGTTTAGTGCCAGAGGCGGATATTCGGTAGCCTAAAAATGTTACCTCAGATGCCCCAAAGACGCACTTAGGGGTGTTAACCAGAACACCGTATTCCTTCATGCGGCTGAAGAGCTGATGGAGGTGTGTTTCGTGCTCTGCTTCGTTCCTGGAAAAGACAAGAAAGTCGTCCAAGTAGCAAAAGCAAAAGTCCAGACCTCTTGTCATCTCGTCCACAAACCTTTGGAATGTTTGGCCCGCGTTTTTTAACCCAAAACTCATAAAGGGAAATTCATACAGGCCAAAAGGTGTAGTGATGGCGGTCTTAGGGATGTCATCCTCAAACACTGGGATTTGGTTGTACGCCTTCGTCAAGTCGATCGTAGAAAAGACTGTACAACCAGAAATGGAATGGGAGAAGTCATGGATGTGCCTAATAGGATAACGGTCTGGTATAGTCCGTGAATTAAGCATCCGGTAATCGCCACATGGCCGCCAGCTATTATCCTTCTTAGGCGCCAGTGTAAGGGGGAGGACCAGGGGCTTTCAGAAGGACGCGCGGTGCCGTTGTAGATCATAAGCTCGAACTCTTGTTTGGCAATCTTAAGTTTATCCGGTGCCAGTCTGCGAGGGGTACATGAGATAGGAGGACCAGGTGTGGTTCTAATATGGTGTACCGTATTGTGCTTTGGGGTCACCGGTGTGCCTGACGGTCGAGTGATTTCCGGAAACTTACTTAAAATGTCGTGATATCGCGAATCGCCTGTTGCAAACCTTGACGGAACATATATCATCGTTAGCGAAAATTGCATTCGATATTAATGTAGTGGTATTATCAATTAGGCGTTGATTACGGCAATCTACAATTAAGTTATAAAAGCTAAGGAAGTCAACGCCTATTATTGGCTTAGTTACATTAGCTACAACAAATCGCCAAACAAAATTACGTCTAAGGCCTAAATCTAATTTTAGCTCTATAAAACCAAATGTTTCGATAACCGAACCGTTAGCAGCATTGAGTTCGAAGTTCGTCTTGGCTCGCCGCTCCCGAAGTGCAGAACGAGGGTAGACGCATAAATCGCTACCAGTGTCTACCAGGAACTGCATATTCGAACTGCGGTCGGTGACGAACAGGCGACCATTGGATGATGGGCAATCGTTTGTCGCCTCTACCGACTGCCTTTGGAGTTTCCCGCCTTGTGGAAGTCGCAGGGCTTTAGGCACTTATGAGCCTGTGCACCAAACTTAGCGTGGTACCAACACAAAGGGTACTTGCGGTAGCTGGAGTTTGAGCGGCTCCGTGGTCTAGAAGTGGAGCGCCGACGATCCCGCGCCCTTGCACGCTCGGTTGAGCAGCAGGCAGCATGGGTATGTTCCTCCAACTTCAGTGTGAGGTGCTGCACCATCCGCTTCAGTTCTGCGATCTCGTCATCTTTGTGTGACGCAAGTCCCCTGCTCGAAGATGCCGCGGCGACGTTGTATGGTGACGTCAATTCCTGTATGCGATCTGCTAAATCTGCAAGCTGCTCTAGTGAGTGCGTAGGTTGCGATGCCAACACTGTCTGTATATTAGACGGGAGCCGGTTGCTCCATATCGTCCTGAGAAAGTCATCAGGTACGGAAGGTCCAGCCAAGTCTTGGAGGTGCCGTAAAAACTGTGAAGGCTTCCTGTCGCCGAGTTCTTCGTGGGTCAGTAGTTGTTTAACTTTCTTTTCATGTGAGGCGGATAACCGTTTAATCAATTCAGATTTAATTTTCTCATAACGGTTTTTTGAAGGAGGGTTGATGATAATATCTTTCACTGCCTTCGCGTATTGTAGGTCTAGATTGTTGGTGACATTATGAAATTTTATGTCGTCGTCACTTACATTATTACAATTGAACTGACCTTCGAGTAACGCGAACCACAATTCCGGGTCTTCGGGCGAAAAAGGTGGTACTTTCAAATTAATTTTTGCCGATTCGTTTATCTCGCGGTGGGTAGAAGCACGCACGCAGCGCGCCCTTCTTAGGGTCACCTTAGCGTCTGACCCTGAACCGGCAGTCTTCACATTATCGCTGCTATCACTCATTTTGTGCTTGATTTAATGTCCTTTGAGGGGTCACCAGTTTGGTAGGTGGAAGAGGTGAGTTCGTGTGTGTCGGGTGAATATGTAAAGTCAATACACTGTTCACAACATTTATTGTCTACACACATATATACGACCACAGAAGAAAGTCAGAAGGAGTAAAAGATAGCACAAAACAATAACAAAAGAGGATAGCGAAAATAAGCAACTACAGCGGAACTATGACAACACGTAATATCTGATAAAGCGTAAGCGCAGCGGGAAGCAACAAGCGACTGGCGATAGGAGTTAATGTACCGCGCCTCACGAGTGTCTTATGACGTAGCACGGGCTCGGACGGAATCGCTGTTGCCGGGCGCCCGATCGGTGAATCGTATATAAAAAACGTTAGGTGAGCCGCGTCGCGTCGCGGCACAGCTGAACGTTGATAGCGATCGTAAACATTGGTAAATAACATTAGTAAATGAATACGCTACATGTGATTAATAATAAAACGTGAAAATAATATATACTTAATATAGATATGAGAAACATATATAAGAATTAATAAATAAATATTTATTATTAACAAATACATATTAATTTAAAATATTTAGCCGCCACAACTGTGAGCTAAAACTCGATCACGAACTCTTTCCAGTTTCCGGTAAAGATTCCTCATTATGACGTATTTTTAATGTCCTCGCCTGCGAACTATTTCTAGAGAGATGAGATCTTGATCTTTTGGGCATTTTAAAATGATAAAAAATTTAACTTCCTCAGTATTTAATAATCTGCTAACTGTTGAACAGGAATTACCAGTATAAATATGATTGAAAACTTATAAGAACTACTAAGTCATCACTAAGCTGTTTGGATCGTTAAATTACAATATACTAACATTTTTAAAGTTTCAATATCTAAGGAATGGAATGTCCGAATTTAATAATTCAAAAAGTTTTTTAAATATATTGAAACAGTCTTAAATATGAAGTAATTTATTTTTATAAGGATTAATACCGAGATACAAATAAACAGCCTTTGTTAGCGGCGGCATTTCAATCAAAATTTTAAAATAAAAGAACACTTATTGTGGCATAACTATAATAGTTAGACATATGCTGTCGCGACACTTTTTGTAAATAATGATGTGGTCTGCAAAATCGTAGTACATTACTTTATTCTATCATCAATAGTTTTCACAGCGCACGCGATGTAAAGAATATTTTAGGTAATTTTTGTACACCTTGAGTAACATTATTGGAGTTTTAGTAAGGATCCCTAATTTTTTTGAAAATATTATATAGCCCATGTCAAACAGGGATAATGTAGCTTCTCAACGGTGAAAGAATTTTTCAAATCGGTTAAGTAGTTTCGGAGCCTATTCGATACATACAAACAATCAAATCTTTCCTCTTTATATTTTATTTAATATGCCTTTTAATTATGTTTTATTTAATATGACTTATATTAAATAAAACTTAAATAAAAGTAATAACTATTAAATAAAACTTTTTTGCAATAAATCAAATCATTTGTGTGAAAATCTTTATCAAATTATTTCCTGTTTTTACCGAGTTAGGTCTATGAATGAGTACCTAGTAATAAATTATTGCAAAGTTGTTGCAAAAAAGTTCGCTTGAACAATTGCTAATAAAACTAGGAAGCGTTAAACATCTATTTTGAGTTCCTTTAACTTACTTGACCTTACTTCGGCCGTGATATACTTCATTATACTTCGTTTGTCTGCAATATAGCATTGGAGCTAAATAAAACTGGATATTAAATTTTGGTAATCCAAACGGTATTTTCATGTTATGTACTACATTGAAAATTATTCCTTACAGTTGTAAATTAATTTATTAATTTGGTATTACTTTCATTCTGTCATAGGTTCTTTGAGTCTTAAGCTGTTGTTATAAGTGAATTAATTGGATTTAAAACATAAAAATCAATGTTTATTAACGCTATTTATGTAAAATTTAAGGTTTATTAACCCTTTTTTCTAATCCGAACTGTTTTGTACCGTGTTGCACTTTGTCCACTCTTACAAAAATATTTGTAAAAGTTATTATTAACTGTCCCCGGTGAGAGACTTCTGCGCCGAGGGTCGTGGGTTCGATCCCCACACGGGACAACTATTTGTGTGACCCACATATGATTATTTCATACCTGGGTGTTTTTCCACGTGAAATTTATGTATCTAAAACGTCCTTACAAAACAGGGTTATGTTATCCTACGATGTAAATGGCCATGTAATTTTTTTTAAATAATGGTAAAAATCTCACCTTTAGAATACAGGTAGTACGGGCTCTCGGGTAAGAATAGCAGCGGTAGACTAGTCAGCAGGTTAATTGCGGCCAGCACAATGCTGTAAGTAGTATACGACGTGAACGGACCAACAGACAACGTTATGACGATGCCCACTGATGCGAAGATCTGCAGAAATGTGCAGAGGGCGCCGCGAATCTCCTTCTGTCGATGTAATATCAGGAGTCGTCACATTCTTCATCAATAATTATACTTAGACTATTAGTTGGGAAGTTAACTCACTGCTTCAGTGACGTGTAACTTTGTTCGACTTTCGGATTGGCTAATATTTCTTCTCAATAGGTGGGCCGTGTTCGATAACGGAAAGACTGTTTCGTTCTCCACTTAAAAACGTTCTTATTTAGATAATAATAAAAACAAAAACTCACAATTAATCCTCAATATGGATTTTACCTAATTTGAACGAAATGAACGGACCAAAATTGTGGAATAATAATTGTCATTCGGTCTTTAGACTCGATCAAAGTTTGAGCGTATTCAAGGCAGGAATGAGCAGACTAGTACCGAGAATACTCTGTTTTTTATATACTCTCTCCCTTTTCTTTCACAAAGTTTGCCTCTTTGTGCGTAAATTTAAGGAGGTTTTCTCCCCGGCGCCAGTTTTCCTCCCTCAGTTGTTTCAAGATACAATAGGATTACGACTAACTATTGCGTTAGACATCTAAGGCCATTTGAACTACGCGAGTTTGAACGTAAAAAATATGTTAGCTTACAACTCCATCAACATCAGTGAGACAAGTAGCCACACCCGGGGCGATTCTTGATAGATAACAACGATTAACTTTCATTGCTAGTCTTTGCCTTATAAACAAATAAAACTCAAAAACTTATAGATAAAACTGTCGCAGAAATCGCTGCTAACGAACGTTAATTGAAAAATTTGCGACAATTTTATCTGCAAGTTCTTAGATAACGACTTACACTCGCGATCTCCGAGGCGTAGACTGGCACAACGGTGAACAGGAAGGAATCCGCTACGCCTATCAGCGCTCGCCCCAATATCAACATCCAAACTTCGCTCGCAAAGACGTACATTATGGTCACCAATATCTTGGGCGCGCACGTGAGCACCACGCACCACTTCCTTCCGATGCCATCCAGCAACAATCCCAAAAGGGGGTTCGCTGCGACAAGGACAAAACATCAAGTCGACTGTGTCGTTAAGAGAGATAGCTTACATGAAGGCGGGTGCCACCATCCGTACCTTGGTGAATACACTGACTTTCGTCTGATCACCAAAGTTAAGACAGAATTTCACATGTCATCTTGTGAGTGAGGTAACCGGGGCTTTTTAGTTATTTATAACTGGTTTTACTTCTAATACCCGTGGCAAGTCCTCTAAGGAAACTTATCGTTACTCTACTAGAAGCATTTCCGGACAAGCCATCCTATTAATGGAGCTGTCAGTTGCTACATGACTCCATCACAAAATTTCGACGTTTTCCCAAGAAATAGGGAAAAGGACTGATGTATCTTCGGCCTTCATTTGTAATTGATATTTAAAGAGCTATTAGTTTATAAGCTGCATGTTAATAGCAGATGTTCATAAACTATAAGCAAGACTTTACGTTTTTCTTATCGTGTCACAGACTATAATGTGAGGAAAATTAAGAGAGGTATGACAATATTTAAGGAGACTTCTTCTCTATGCAATAATTCCTGTATCATGACATATAAAGTACTCCCAAACTCGGAAGAACTGTTTAGAGGTAATATATATTACTTAGTCATACTATGGTTCACACTAACACTGCCTAAGATAACAAAACCATTCAACTATCTTTGCGTTTGATAATTATTATAATATCAAATATTCTATATATTATATAGCGAAAGCTATTGCGTGGCTTTATCACAGTACGAACTTTTGTTTATAAGACAATTGTTTACGCAGAAATTTATCATGACGCTGAGCCCTTGGTAGCCCAACACAGAAACGAAAATGAATTATCCATTAGCAGAATTACTCGTGAATTGAAAATTACAGATATACAGTGCCGAAAGCACTTTTAAAAAAAAAGTATATAAAATCATTTCCTAGTTCCATGAGCAATAGTAGAGTATATAAAATTTGGAATTTTGGAAATCTGAAATTTGGAAATTTGGAAAAATTTGGAACATTTTTCTCAGTGCATCATTCTCCGGAAGAAATTAAATAAAATCAAGTCAACTAGGACACTGGTCCCTGACCAGTTCCATTTAAGCGTCTCGCTGCGGACGTTGTTTAAAAGCTGACAAGGCTTCGACTAGATAAATCAAGTTTAAAGGCTGAGTAATGTCTGGGATATTTCATAGAGACCTACCCCAAAGCTTTAAGTCAGAAGCCTTCAATCAATGGGTCACTCAACAACACACCGGAGGGGGCACCATTTACTGTGGTGTTTAAAAACGCTAATCAAGCAAATAGTTGGTGTTTGAGAGAGAAATAGAAAGAAAGAAAAATATCACCAGAAAACAAAAGGTGCACACAATAAATGGGTAAACAAGGCAGGGGAGGTCTAAGCTCAGCAGTGCACCAAAATAAGCGGATATGATAATGATGATGATGAAACAAGGTGAAGTGGTAGTCGACCGGTCACATAAGCCGCGGAAGCCACAACGCCTGGACTAGACATGATCTTCAGGAGAGAATGTAAAACATAAGACGTAGCTTATAACACCCATTGGCTGTGAACGTGCAGTGAACACAGAGGTGGCGTGACAGAGATTCCCAGTAAAAGAACGATGCTGGCTAATGATGATAACGTTTACGTATACTTAATATATGGTAGTACTTACAAATTATGCTGCAGATAAATCCCACAGAAACAATCCAGGAACCCTCTTCCTCGGTAATCGGACGATCAAGCGGAGATTCCGTGCTGTTCCGCAGCTTTACTAGTATTGGGGATGGCCATGCAAGGTTCAAGCCTGTCGTCAGGACACTCATGTTCACTGGAAAAAGGAAAAACTATTGGTCATGATTTAAATAGTTACTGCACATCAGTATACTTCATTTATTTAGTTACGCCACGCCTCGAAGTAAAACACATAACATTGCCGTTTTATTTTTACTGAACCAATCAACCTGTAGTTGTCGCTCAAAGTGCCTAGTCGTACACGTTGAAAAATACATATCACCAAAGTGTAGTGGGTGGTCTATTATAAGAGCTCAAACGTTATTAGTTTGATTCCAATATATTTAACTATTTCTGAACTTGAATACCAACAACTATTATAACGACAACTAGTGGTCACATCACCGTCCGGGAACGCAGCGAAAAGCAAGTGCCCGCTCAAAGAGTACATTGCCCGCTGCTCCAAGCGACCATCTGTCCCTTCGCTCGAGAAGTTAACGTTATATCCGGTATACATTGTTGCCAGCGATAACACTATTCTCTCGTGCCAAGACACCCGGTCTGATCATATGGTGCTGTAGCAGTACAATTAGTATACCATCCTCCTGAGCCCCGAATTGAGCAGCAGACAATCTTCTTTCTACCCTCCATTATCAAAGGGAAAGTAGCGCGCATAGATGTTCTGCTTCTATAGTAGCGTTAGCACATGTGACATGATGGTAGCAATCCGGTGTGGGATCACTCCACGCCATGTGGGCTATTGTTCCGCGGCTTATGCAGTCAATATTGCGGTTAAAAAATTTTATTCGATAGAGAAAAATCACCAATGAAATAATCAAAATTCAGAATTTAGCGCTCACTATAGATTACAAGAAAAAAATGATTAAATCTTGTTTCAGTATCTAATATTTAAGGCTAAGCTTTCAACATTAGCATCATAACAAAAACAATTCATCAACACAGCAACTATACCATTAAATACAGACAAACATAGTACATATTGAAATATTATTATGATTATTATAGATAAAGTTATAATTTATATCGACTATCAAATCGTTTACATAATTTGATCTAGGTGGGTAAATTTATAAAAATAAAGGCTTTGGTGGAACCCGTCCCAATGCGCGGGGCTCCTCGACGTATAAAAATGTACAAGTAACTAACCAATCCAATAAGTTTGAGTTAAATAAATGTTGAAACTAAATTAATCCTTGTTCATAACAAACCTTTGGGAAGTCGCCTCGATTCACGGGGCTCCATGATATATAAAAACGTACATGTAACAAAACTAACCAATCAATTTGAAGGATAATGTTACCTAATATGTAAAAAAACGTAAATAAATTAAAATCTCTAAGCAGAAATATTTCATAAAATTTTAAATCGATGTCGGAAATCGATATTAGCACATTGGCTCTATAGACATAATGTCATTGCCAAGAACTGTGTGTTTGTGTTTTGAATTCAATATGGCGGATTTCCTTAGTGAAAATAACAAGATTTAATTATTATTATTTGTCGTCATAATTATATATACATGAATGCCGAATTCAATTATCAATTAGAATTTCATTAGTGATTTCTCTTTACCAATTAAGTTTTTCAGGTTTCAACCGCAATTTAAACTGTGTAAACTACTTAACTGTTACTAAAAATATTTTAAGGAATTATCGAGTCAAGCTTGGTCACGGGACGGTCGGTCTTTGAAAGAGAATCCGTAAGAATAGTTTAATTTAGTTGATAATATGTTCGGCATTTCTGATCGCATCACCGTCACTAACGGTCAAATCATCCATTGCTCATAAGCCTGTTTGCAACAAAAGACATAGGTGGGTACGCCCCTTAGCAAATCCACAATAACGTCAGCAATAGCAAATAAAGAAATCATGGATTCTGTTCTTAATTAACCTTTACATGGTCTACTTCATATTTTCTTATGCCCGGTTCCTATATTCAACGAACGGCCGTTAGTTACATAGCTTCGTAACTTTCATAACGACTTTAGATAAAAGGCGTGTACGACCGGTTCCTATATCAACAAAACGAGGCGTTTCCTTACGAGCCGTGGCATTAACTACGGAAAGTGATTTACTAGCGTTCCTTTAATCTACAAGTCATTATGAAAGTTACGAAGCTATGTAACTAACGGCCGTTCGTTGAATATAAGAACCGGGCATTAATCATTATCATAAATATAACGTGACGTTTCTGCGTCGCCCCGGAGGTTTTTTTTAATTGTCGCAGATGAAATCTCACGGAACACCTAATCCTAATAATATGTAAATCTCTTCCCCATTAGCACAGTAAAACAATAAAATTTAATGTAGTTGTTCGCTTTATAGTTGCCATCTTACTCATTATTTAACAAACGACTAAAACAGAAAACTAATATTGTCGCTTGCAACACACTATAAATATAATTATTTGCACCCTCACTATTGACTCACTATTTATCGCTATGTTAAAACGTTTTATGTTTGGCGCCATGTTTGTAGATTACAAAGGAATGTCCACAGATTATGTGCAATAAAACTGCATTAAAACGCAACAAAGCGGTGCCTAATCTATGCTCAAATATTAGAAATTGTATTCTTTGTACATTGTGAACAGCAACTTTGTGGATAAATTGTAAGGCACACACATACTAAATAAAACAATCCCTAATGAACGCTAGTAACTCACTTTCCGTAGGTAATGCCACGGCTCGTAAGGAAAACGCCTCGTTTTGTTAATTAAATAACAATTAATAATAATTAATTAACCGGTCGTACACGCCTTTTATCTACAAGTCGTTATGAAAGTTTCGAAGCTATGTAACTAACGGCCGTTCGTTGAATATAGGAACCGGGCATTAGACCCGATCACGGTTACGGTGGTAGTGTCACGCTACAGTCTCCACTATAGCACGAATGGTCAGGTCCGTCCGGGTAAGTACCACGACCTCACAGAAGACCGGCGTCAAGTAGAAGTGTTATACTTCTGCGTTTCGTCTAGTAGCCGGACAGTGAGGTATCCGGGCCCACTTTAATGAATGGTGGCTACGCATATGCAACCTTTGGGTGTTACATATGCGCATGCGAGGCGTCTGTCCTTTACCATCACGTGAATCGACAGCTCCCTTGCCACTTTCTCACATAAGAAAAGATTAGATGGATTTGTGTCCACATATAGCACTCATTACCTAATGTATTTTTTTCTTAATCTCATACGCGTAGAAAAGGACATTTAAACACGGACTAGTTACCAAAAGCTCGCTTTTAATTCAATATACTCCAGCAACCTGAGTTCGATCCCCGGTGCCGGTATCAATGAAATTGCTAATTTTAAGTGCCGAATTATCACATGCTCAGGTGAAGGAAAACACCGTGAGGAAACTTACATATTTTCAAAATAATAATAAAAATAAAAATAAATATTTCAATGATATGTGAAGTCCGCCAAGCCGTAGTGGGGCCGCGTGGTGGAGTATGCCCGGACACCCTCTGTACAGAGGAGGCCTTGGCCCAGCAGTGGGACACGTACAGGCTGATACTTTACTTTTACTTTACTTAGTTACCAAAATATTATAAACAAACGAGAAATATATAATATCATGATTCAGCTCTTTAAAGCAAGAGCCGTTTTAACAATAAAAGGAGGAATATATAATAAAATGTACTCGAAATGACAATAAGCCTTAAATAAGTATCATTTACAAAATTGCACCAGCGTTTTTTTTTTTGTCTTTAAAATTTTAATTTTCTCTCGAAAGAAACAGGATAGTTGTCATAACCGCGTATATGCTAGGTACGCTCATGTAGGCAGATTAGGTATGTATATATCCAAAGACGGATCTAAAATGTTTGTACTTTGAGTCAATAATTTTAAAGTTCAACAAGGCATGAATTTTTGAACTCATCGTTTTAGCACGCTATCGTAACTTACTAAAGATCTTCCTAATGGATTGAAACAAAAATAATATATTTATTAATAAGAAGCACATATATAAATATGAAATGAACAAAAACTTACGCAAAGAGCGTACACGTTGTCAAGTAAATACACCGCCACATACAGAGCCGTGAATTAACAAAAAACTAGCATTCGGTATCCGGTTCAAACGGCATATTATAAAATAAAAGCATGCAGTATTTAAGCGCCGGTTTATGAAGTTTTCAGTGGGAAGGGAACATCGGAAGGTAACATAAATCAACGAAGTATTGAGAAAGTTGTCGTGTAAAGAAAGTGTCCCACTCTGTTGGAACGATGTTTCAGTATTGCGTATTGAATAATGGATGCAATGAAATAAATAAAGTGTGAGATTGACTTAATGAAAAAAAATGAGGGAACGGTAAAAAAAAAATGATATTAAAATAAATTTGCGCGCACTACACTGGCGTGTTTAACTTCTTCTCGCGTTGTTCTGTCAACTAACGCAAGAATCAAAGGGTCTCTGCGATGGAAGATGCATAACCGTTTTTCGTTACGTGACGATGATCGATCGACCCTACGCGCATCTTCATTATTCCAAAAAATCAGATCTTCAATTTTTACGAGATTAATAATAAATGAAATATAGGAACTTAACTTTACTTGGGGCCTAATTTACCTCTCCCAAAGTGGGATCCAGACAGCTGAAATAAGCCTCTACACGTAAGCTGACGATTGATGGATAAACTAAATCATTATGAAATTGATATAATATCCACTGCAGATCTAATAGCTGAATTATCGTTAAGTGTACTGTTTGTGTGTAAGTGTGAATTATCGTTGAGTGTACAAAAGCACTCGTCATGCAAACTGTTTATTTTTACATCACTAATTCACACTTGTTTTGCAACAAACTATTCTGAATCGTCATGTAGTATAGGACAGTCAATATAGGAAGTTCTAAATATTACGTAAAGTTCTCATAAACGGAGATACCCACATAGACCTCACAGAACATTTAACTTTTTCAATCGAGCCGTTCTCTTTTTGTTGTGTTAACCAAATAACTTATTGTAAATTTCATTTGGTTAAATTTCATTCTATCCTATAAAACCGATTTTTTAGGATATATGATTAAGTTCAATATACATGTACATTTATAACAAAGTGTTTATTTCGGTTAGGTATTCATAAACACCAACATTACAATAAAACCATGCATAGGCAGCCAGAAAGTACAAAAAAAATTAACTGTAATTTTTCGATGCCGAAGAAAGTAGGTTAATAGTTTACTATTAACCTACTTTCTATTAAAATTTTTCACTTCTTTGTTCGTTTGAAATTTGTTAAAAAATTAAAAACTGTTCAATACCCACCAACGAAGACGATGACATGCTGTATGAAACATGGCGATTGCCACAGCGAAAGCATCACACGAAATTCCTTTTTCAAAATGCACGAAACAAATATTTTAATTCAGCTGACAGTACCTACAGTTATATTTTTAATTCATCCCGCTTCAAAAAGGTTGGAACGATAAATTCGAATTCCGAATGCGGAATTAATTTCTATGTATTCTAACGGCCACCGCGACTCCTTGTTAGCGTCGGAATGTAACTATCGCGTCCTCAGGCAAGACACTGGAAACAAAACGAAGCTAGCCTGTTTGTACGTTTGTCGAGGTACAAGTTATCTTATAATATTCATGCCATACTGTTTTGTTCACCGTTAGCAGAATACTTCACGACTTACCTAAATGTCCAGACGTAAATGTTTAGCGTGATGGCCATAATTAAAAAAACTCCCTGTTTGAATTTACTTCTCACAAATCATCAACCACTCATAACCTAATGTATTTTATGTTATACGTGTAGAAAAGGACATTTAAACACAGACTAGTTCACATATTGAATTCACACATTGACAAACTAGTTACCAAAGTATTGTCCACAAACGAGAAATCGGACTGTACCCCACCTACAACTATTGAGTTTCATTCGCTTGAAGTTGGGTTCAAGTCAGGGTGGTTGATACTTTTTAACAACGATTTTATGTTTCATAAAATATAAAAGAAATTCAAGGAGAGACGCAAGAATAGCATAGCATAATAAATACAATAGGGCAGGTGGTTTATATTCCTTATCGGTTTGTTGATATAAAGTTTTGAAGTAGCTAATATCCTAAAGCTAATTACTAGTAGCCAGTAGATTGTCTGATATGGGATGTTGGCGTAATGCAAACTTTCTGCATGCGCCGTTTATTACTTAACATCGTAAAATACTCAAACCTACCACCGAGGAGGGTAGATTGAGATTAAGTGAAGATATTAAGTATGATAGTTATTAAGTGAAAATATTAAGTAAATTATACATGCGACAACAGATTTCTATTCATTGATCGTAGTAAAAAAACTAAGACTCATTATTGTATCTAAAAGTCGTTATAATTCAATATCCGGTCGCTTGCTTTTAATTCAATATATTTGAGCAACCTGATTTAAAATCCCAGTGCCGAGACATCAAAAAAATTTTAATTGCAATTTTATTGCTGATTTATGGCGTGAGTGAAGGATAACTTCTTGACAAAACCAACATATTTTCGACATAATAGGCAAAAAATTATGTATATGTAATGTCCGCTAATCCATGTTAGGAATGCACGGTGAACTATGCCCTGATGGCTATTGCATTGGGTTATACCTTATATAATATGAGGCCCAGCAGTGCGAAATACCATACACGTAATATATTACGACACGAAAATCTTGAATAATTTTTTTTTTTCATATTGACGGAAAGTGTACTCTCACTGCCCCAGCTACCGTTGACATCTTTTCCACATAAGTACGCATAAACTGGTCAGTTGCAGACACACAAGATTTTACACTAGCCACCCAGAGCGGTACACACCGTCCCAAAAACAAATTAAACGTTCGATGACCAACAGTGTTGAGGTTTGAAGACGTTAGCCTCAATGGCCTGTAAACAACACTCAAAAACACATCTAGACATGCACATGTTACTAGATTATAATAGCTTCGCATTTTGGCGGACCCTGTGACTGTAAACGGATGTCTGATAAAGATGACAGACTTTTTTAGAGAAAGAATTTCTTTACTCTGGGAAAACATTGTGATTAACATTAACATCTATGAATACAGATAACCTATACATATTTATCTCCGATTGTTAAATTGGATCATTGTAGTCACTAAAAGTAAAAAAAGTAAAGTAAAATGGCCTAACGCTCGCCATCCAATTTAAAAAAAATCTGGTTTCACCCGTAACCTGTTTGAAATTTGATATTTATTACAGAGCATCGATCAGTCAACTCAGTCTAAGGATCACGAAGCACCATTACATATAAAAGCATCTTGGGACTTATTTTTATAAAACTAATAGCAACCCGCCCCGGTTTCGGAAGGGTACAATGTATTTTATATTTTTCTTAAAACATTGCCCTTACTTGAGGATAACATTATCCTGTGTTGTAAGGACGTTTTACAAACATAAACTTCATAAAACACGCGGATAAACACCCAGATGCGAAACAACTATCTGTGGATCACACAAACAGGTGTCCCGTGCGGGACTCGTACCCACGACCCCCGACGCCGAAGGCAATACCTTGGTAACTGCGCCACGGATACATCATATTTAAGACACATTTTTACACGTTCTCTAGTACCAAACAAAGCTAAACAAAGCAACGCTTGTACTATAGGTACTAGATAACTGATAGACATACTTAAACATGTTCTTTTGTAAATAAATACATATTATAAATATATTTTTTTTTACAAATTACCAAGTAGGTATCACCGGTTATGCCTATTTTTCTTGTTGCAAAATAATCTATTATTAAAAAGGAAATATTTTTAATATTGACATTCGAATAACTCTTGATACTTAAACATTTATAGTACATACAAACTTCAATTGGAAACGAAAGCTATGCCATGGTAAAGGACCAGTTTATATAGAACTAGATTCAACACCTCATTCTTAGTCCTATACCATTAGTATCACTACATAGTATAAAACAAAGTCGTCCCGCTGTCTGTCTGTCCCGATGTATGCTTAGATCTTTAAAACTACGCAACGGATCTTGATGCGTTTTATTATACTAGATAGAGTGATTCACGAGGAAGGTTTATATTTATAATTCATGCATAATATAGTAGATAGACAATGATAATTTTAGAGGTTTCTAATGCGATGTCGAAAACAAACATTCAGCATTGCACCCGTGCGAAGCCGCGGCGGGTCGTAGTACTAAATAAGCCGCTTATAGTCAGCCCAGCTTCGAATGAGTAAACAAATTTAAACTAAATGCCAGCAATAACTTAATATGCACAATGTTTATGAAGCACTCCTGAATACGCCTTAATAAGAGACATGCGCTCTCAGAGACGCACACACGCGCGTACGCTTACACACACACACACACACAACAATGCGCATTACAATGTATATTACGCCTGTGTTGCACATTAGTAGCATTAAAAAAATGTATATAGTTGTAACTTAACATTTCTTGTATGCCGTGAAGTTTCCTAATAAAGTAAATAAATGAAATAAATAAATATGGCCAATATGCTCGCATATGCTCCTGACAGGATACGTATTAACGTCATTTATTTTACTTTGATTTGTACTTTTACATTAATTCTGTCAGTGGGAAGTGCGAGGTACCCTTTCGTATAAAGGATGTCCATGGGAAGCTATCGTCAATTAACATCAGGTGAACCGCCTTGTTACCTTCTAACATAAAAAACTAAGACAACCAAATCATGTTAATTTGTAACGTTTTGGTCAAACGCGATCTGATTGCAGATTTAGACAACGAAAATAGGCTACGTACATATTTGGATAAATTTGGCAAGGTCCCACACAGGCATTGGTCGCGATAGTTTAACTTTATCTTAATAGGACGTCTTGTATTATCAGTTTGATTTAATATTGTGGTAAGAGATAACGGAATAGATTAGGGTCTAAAGTGTACAAATGCGTTTTAATTGTTAAGTACCGTTTACCGTATAATCCAAAACTAATAATACCATCGATATATACAATTATGTAAACATAATAATCATGTTTATACGCCAATATTAATATAGTTTTTACTTATTAGCTTCAGATTTAGCTCGTGCTCTCTCTAATATCTCGCACATCCAATGTGAAATAACAACTTGAACAGGTAAGTTAAAACTTCTCTCGTAGATTGATCTGATCACTCCCATCATAGATGACTCCAAATTAAAAAAAAAAACTAGTTTTTAGTCTTGGGAAATAGTAAAATGCGTGCACTACAGATCAACAATAGCCTATCAGATAAGCCTAAATAATTGTATAATTAAGTAGCTGTAATAAATAAACCTTCAAGAAGAGAGCATATTCTTTCTTAAAAGGCCGGCAACGCATTTGTGAGCCCTCGGGTGTTGCAGGTGTTCATGGGCGGCGGTAATCACTTACCATCAGGTGAGCCTCCTGCTCGTTTGCCCCTTTTCTCGACAAAAAAAATTATAAAAAAAAATCAAATACAACATTTCTCAACTCGGAATATAAACAAAACCCATTACATACGAATTGGCTAATCTAATAATACTTTATTGCATGCATTAAATACTTAAACGTGGACATTTTAACAAGTATTTAGGTATCATTATTGTTGCGTGCCGTGTAACTCAAAGACAAAGTTTTAAATGAGGTCATGTTCACGCACAGCATTTGCTTGTTAATATAATTCATAGCTGATAAAGTACAGAGCTACTTACCGGAAAGGGCAAAAGAAAGTCCATCCGGTCATAGATTATCCGTTGTTCATGCGCAAATAAGTACGCATGGTAAATAATACAATAGTGCCTTTGCTTTGGAAGAAGAGAAGCAAAGGAAATGTTAAAAGATTACCGCCATATTCACTAGCTAGGCGTAATGCAGAAGTAAAAAATACGAATAAAGTTTACGCTGGTTTTATGTGATTTTATGTTGTTTTTAGATTACAGTATTTGTTCTACTGTGGTAGGACAATGCAACAGTGTTCACTGTTGCACGAATGGGCAGGTCCGTCCGGGTACCACGACCTCACAGAAGACCGGCGTAAAGTAGAAGTGTTACACTTCTGCGTTTCATCTGGTGAGTGAGGTAGCCGGGGCCCACTTTATTTAAAGGTGGCAACGCATTTGCAAACCTACGGGAGTTGCAAATTTCCATGGGCGGCGATTATCACTTATCATCAGGTGAACCGGCAGCTCGTTTGCCACTCTCTCACACAAAAAAAAAATGTGAGGTCCTGGTACTTTTAGCCAAACGGTCCGTAGTCCTACATGTACGTAACAAAGCCACTGCGTGACTTAAATCTAATATACAGCGTGTCTTTACAATCGCGACAATAAATGAACACACATATAGGGTATAACTTTTTAAAATTTT